ACATACGAATGCACACTCGCAAACACTTACATTGGATGCATGCACGCGCACAGGAATGCATAGATTCTCCCTGAAACTCTCCGTCTTTCGTTTCCTTGTCGCTGGCATAACGTTCACCAAAAGGTTCGACCATACTCTCTGCTCACATCTTTCTTTTACGTGTTCGTGCAACCTGGAAATACTTCGATGATTCGAAACGACCCGGAATATTCCAGCGAATATCGAAAGACGAAGATCGAGCCGCGCTTCGAAGTTTTAAATACAATTTTCCGGATTGGTTCTCCGATTGGAAATCGCCCTATCGTGCAATAACGTCGTAGCCGTGATCGATCAAGCTGCGAGACGTGCAAGAGATAATCGATTAATTGCAGTCCGACCAGAGGAAATTCGTAGGTTTAATCTGGTTCTATCGCAGAGAGAAAAGGAGGAGTCGAGTCCCCGAGGTCTCGAATAGGGCGAACCATCCGTCGCCCATTCGTTCGCTCAACCGCTCGCTCGTTCGTACGTGTCGAAGGCCGATTGGCGCTCTGTCGATGAACTTAGTTCGGTTGCCGTGCACAGAACCGCATCGCCTCGAGCTGTGTGCTCCTTTGATCTACTCTACGTTTCGTGAGAACGCCTGGAACCGCCGCGACAATCGTGTAACACGATTACGATCAGACGATCGCTGTTCAAGCGCGTCTTCCAACCGGCTCGATGTCCAATTCCTTGACACGATGCACCGAAACGCCAATCGACGCTAAGAAATTCTAATTACAAACGTCGAGGTCGTTTTGTTTAATTTGCATCGGCACGAAAGTTCTCCTTTGTACGATATATAGAACGATAGGTGAATCGATTTCTACGAAAAAATTAAAATTAACTTTCCGCTTCTTTTATCGAAATAAATATTTCTGCTTCCAAATAGGATTTTTTCTTGCATATTCTTTTTATTAAGTTTGCCAAGCAGAACCTGGCAGATAGTTGTTAAGCTTACGTTCGTCCTTTTTTTTAACCGTTATTTACTTTCCCGAATTTTTTTTTTTTTTTTTTTTTTTTTTAATTCATTTGTTCCATACACCGAGACGCGTGTTGATTTTATCATACGGAGAAACTAAAATACATAACGGCAGAATTGTTGCGTTTTCCCCAGTTTGCAAACAATCGAGTATCATTCTCGTTCGTCCGGTTCGAATTGCAGTACCAAAGTAAACAAGGTACGATACAAATTTAACTAGCTTTTCATGTTTAAACAATCCAGCCATATTCTGATTTTTACGATTAATGCAAACAAGTACAACCCAAGCAGAATAATGTACGCGATAAATAGAATCAAGTAGTATAGGTAAACGATTCGAGCTACGGCCATGGCTTACCACCGCAACTTCGTTAATGACGAGGCGAACCTAACCTTTCTTTATGGTCAAGAGGTGTGATCAGCTTGATACTATGCATTAAGTCAGCCTGGTTACCATAGTAGCGACTCGTGTTAATGTTAGAATAATTGTGCGCGTGCATGGAACACGCCGACACACGAAATACACGAAACACTCTCGTGGCAAGAAGTCACGAATAGAAACACGACAGAAACACCGAACCAAAAATGGACAAAGTACTATTTCGCGTGTGTGAAACGATGAAAGTGCTCGCAATCACCAAGTAGGCTACACTCAGAAAAAAATAAAAGGATCGAATTCTAATCGTAGATAGAAGTCGGCTCGTGATACCTAGTAGTCTGGGACCGTGAATCGTAGTCCGGTTGGATGGTTTGTATCTGTATTACACGCATAGTTTCTAGAAGGCACAGAACGTTCTATCTTTTTTTTCACTCTTCTCCTTCTCGTCGAATCTCTGGTGACCAATTTGTCAGTACTATACTGTTTTTTGCATACATATATACACATTCTAAACGGCCTGAATCGTTCTGATCTTACGTTTTTCCGAGTGTAGACCAAGTTATTACTCACTGTCTCCTGCTTGTTACTTTTTTAGCCTTTAAGCTATCTGAAGCGTGGTCTGCTCTTGTAAGGAAATGACAAAAAAAAAAATACGAACGAACACTTTTGTTTCCTCTCTATGTAGAAGAATAGTATCTTGTTCAATTTTGGATATATATATATTATATATATATAAATATATTACATACGCACGAACCGTCCCGTTTAGACCATTTTTTAGACGCTAGCTGCTATGCCGCGGTTGCTAAGATGGGCTGCCCGCCTGCCACCACTTACAATTATTATTATTCTATATTTTATTCCACCCGATTAAACCCCTGTTGCCCCCTTT